ATGTGTGGAGAAAACCAGGCACTGCTCATCACCTGTCCAATACAGTCCCAACAGTGAAGCATGGTGGTGGCAGCATCATGCTGTGGGGGTATTTTTCAGCTGCAGGGACAGGACGACTGGTTGCAATCGAGGGAAAGATGAATGCGGCCAAGTACAGGGATATGAAGGCTCAAGTGCTTTCTTCTAACCTGCTTGTTTGAATCTCTGGATCAAGCGCTCTCTGATTCCCCTCTGCAGGTTGAAGTAGTCATCCTCTTCATGGGGTGTACGGAGGAAAAGCAGAATGTGCTGGAAGACAAGCAGGTGGCGAGAGGGGGTCTGGATGGCTCTCTGCAGCTGGCTCTCCAGCCAGACCTCATGGGCCTCCATTAACTCAGGGCAGCCTGATGAGTCGAACAAGAACTGAGAGTTCAACACCAAACACAACACCCCACCCACCCAAAAACTGAAGTAATCATCGCCCCAATCGTGGCAGAACTGCTCCACGCTCTCCGGAGTGGGTGTTTTGCCAAGATCGTGGTTGCCGCTGACGAACACAAGAGGAATGTCGGGGTCAGTGCCTCTCAGTTCTTCTTTGAGGTCCTTAACCTGTTCTTCACTGAACGTACATCCTGAAAAATAAAAATAGATTTTTCTTGGTTGAAAAGCCTCATTTAAAGAAGTCCGAAAACAGCATCTGCAACCCAATTTAATTCTGTAATGAGAACCATTTCAATAACAGGATATTTAAGGCTTGGTTTTAGGCAGAGCAAGTTGTATCTATTTATTTTTTTTAATCTTTAAATATTTGCACACATTATCTCAAACTATATATATATATATATAACATATATTATATATACTGTATATACACACACAATATATTAAATTTTTTTGTGGAATAATATGCACAGGAGCAGAAAAGGCTATATACATAACAAAAAACTACAGTTAAATCCTCCGGAGCAATATTGAGCACAGCAGCAATGAACACAGTAGGAACAGTCGGTTTTCAGTGGAAAATAAGATGCAGCGCCAGACGAGTATGTGATAGTATATAAATACTATCTTCAATGGCTCCTTCCATCTTCAAAAGAATACTGAAGCAGGCAATATGTGGAGGATTCAGAATAAAGTTTCTGTTTCATACAGAAGATAGGGAAGCATTCGGTCTAACCGCATTTCTCTAAAGTAAAGGCAGACTGTCAAGCGTTGAGTTTTGAAGCTCGTTAATAACAGCCTTAGGTTACCTCTAATATGACAAGTAAGGCATCTTGCTAATTGCCTGCTGTGAATTTGAAACTCAATGAGTAGCGGAGCTGAAATTAGAGTTGGCATTAGTGACTGTGGTGTTGTGAATGGTAGACAAAGAAAACTAAACCAACAGACCATGATTCTAGTCTATGGAGAGAATTAACCTTACTAAAAATGTGGATACATTTTTTGTAGATTATTATCAAGCAACCCTCTATACAATGCGAGCAAATCACTCACATATGCGACCAAATTGTATGCCATGAGGATAAAGAATGGCTGTCATTAGCCACTGGCTAGTAAATTTTACTAAAGTTATATTTCACTGCCAGTGATTGAGTTAGAGGCTAAAAATAGCCGAAGTAGTAAATATATTTTTACTGTATGTTGTGCCCTATGACTGTTTTCTCTCACACACATGCAAAGACAGAATGCAAGAGAATCTGACATACCATAAAGAATTGGAATGCTAGATGTAAATGTTATTTTAAATGTTATACTGTAGATATAAATGGTAATTCCTGTCATTTTATTATTTATTTTAGCTGTTTACACAAAAGAATGTCTGTAGAGGTAATTGTCACACAGATCTTTTCAATTAGACAAAGTGACAATGATTAATCATTTCTATGGCCACAGAAAAAAAACCAACAACAAAAAAATAGTCCATACAACTCCATTTGTTATTTTGTATTTATTTATTTATTTTTGATTGACATAAGAAAGTTTTACAGGTTTAAAAATAGACAAATAAATAACATTTCTTTAAGCAAGTTCTTTTTTTGTGTTGTTTGAAAAAAGCAAGTGTTCTTGGTGTGAACAGGCCAATTACTACTCTTACTTTGTGATCAATGCCATTACCCAATATCTGAATCTGAGCCTCACTTTGACTTTCTCTCTAAGTTATGTAACATTCAATTTCAACAGGTCCCCAATTTCTCCCAGCAGTGCCAAATCCCACAGAAACCTATTAAAATCTCTCCCAAATGAGATCGCTATCAGATAAACATACAGAGAAATGAGGGCTCTTCCAGAGCTGATTTCCCTCTGGTCAGCCCACTGATGTTCAGCTGCTCCTCAGAGAACTTCACTTTTATCCGCTTTCAACAGCAATTAAAAACCTAACGTATGTGAAAGAGGAAACAGAAGGATAAGAAAACCCCTGCCTCACCTTCTGAGATGTCCCCTACCACAGCACACACAAGGCTAAAGGCAGCAGGCAAACATTTTTATAGGCCCCATAAGGAAAGCATCAGGTTCAGTGCTCTCCAAATCTAATCACCTCCCTCGATGATCTCTCCTGCTGCCAGTCAGGAGAAGTCCTTGAACCGGAAAGCTCACAAGGATTCTGTGCCGATATCATGGAGCGGCCCTTCAATTACCGAGCCGAACTTTGCTTGTCCAACATGCTGCCGCACACTGTTCATTATGGCAGGCAGAACACAGGAGGTAGAATGGCTGAAATAAAATCAGATTTGGTCGCCAATGAGGCTTGAAGAGTCACAGCACGTGTTTAATGAAGGAAATATCGACTGACAGGGTTGTCCTAAACCCTGAGATTGTCATAAAAATAGATAGTTCACCTAAGAATTTTAATTCTTTCACTAACCCTCATGTCGTTACCAAACCTGTATGAATTTTCATCTACAAACCAAAAAAGAGATAAGACAGAATGATTCTGCTGCTCATTTCCATACAAAGTAGGTAAATGGTGGCCAGGGCCATAGAGAAAATTCATTAATTATTAATTATGTATGTACAATATTATGTACAAGACATATGACAATAAAGGCATTTATAATGATGCAAAAAGTTTCCATAAAAATATTATGTAGCAAATTGTTGTCAACATTGATAATAAGAAATGTTTCTTGAGCACCAAATCAGCATTAGAATGATTTCTGAAAGATCATGTAACATCACAATTTCACAATATCACTGCTTTTATTGTATTTTTATTAAATAAAATGCTTCTTTCCAAACCATAAAAAAAATCTTACCAACCTCTTTGAAATGGTGTCATATGTGAATGCAAATGAGATTTCAGAATTGCAGAGATTTTTTTGTGAATAACACTTTTATTTAACAAACATGTTGCTCACACAAAGCTAACATATGGTTTCAGAAGACTTTCTTTGTGCTACTTTTAGTTTACCTTTAGTCATTTGGTCTAGGGCTGGGTAAAAAATAGCGATATATCGATATTAATCAATTCTCATTTTTACGAAACTATATCGATTCTTAAATCCCAAGAATCGAATATTCTAGCCTGATTTCATTTTCATTATGATTTTTTTTACTGTTCTTTAATGTTTTATGTTTGAATAAATCCGTCCAGTTTTTATGACAGCCACCATTTAAATGTGTATAAAAAAATGTAAAAAACTAACTGAAGTAATTGTAACTTAATTATTATAAAAACTTCATTAAGTGCAATTTGAGCAGTTGTACAGCACAAATCAGTCAATTTTAGCCTTCAATATTATAGTGTAGTACCAACTGTAGTAAATCAGCTCAACAGGGAAATATTTATGACTAATTATAACTGGTTATGATTAATAATAAATATTTAGATTATATCTTCAAATTAACTGTAGCAGAATCAATATTACAATTATTTGATCTGTCCGTCCACCGAGCAGACAATATGATCATTCATCAATTCAAGAAAAGATAATTTTCCTGGCCAAGGAAGAATAACTGTCCTTCTTTATGCAGTGCTAGCAGTACATAATTTAGCATATTGTAGCAAGGGTTCAAAACATTAATTGACTTCGAATTGTGAGCAGCAAACAGAGGCAATCGATCGTGAATATAAGGGATTTAATAAATGAAACTATATCTAACATATAACTAACTAAGCAAAACACATAAGCGAATCGAAGTTACTTGAAGATAAAAAACTGCCGGAAAACAAACTCAAGAGGAAAAGACTTGAGAGTCTGGGAAAGTGGCGTCTCAAAAGAAGAGGGTTTTCTGAGCAAAAATCATTTTGGGCTAATCACTTTTGAGGGTTTCTATTCTGGGTGGACTGGCCAATACCAGGCGTGAATTTTTGAGCGGGAGAAGTTTCCTTTGTTTCCCTTTATGGCCCATTTGCATGTTTTATGGCCAGTCTGGAATTGCTGTGGTTTTAACCCAAAATATAGTACAAATCGTATGATGCGTTTCACAATCACATACTGTACATCATTGTTTGAGGAATAAAGAGCAGATAATATTGATACCAAGAAACAAACATTTAGAATAGATTAAACCAAGATACATCCATACACCTGAATATCAGTGTTTAGGGCTTTAACTAATACAAATAACGAGTGGTAACTCAGCTAATCTAATAGGGAAACGTACAAACACATGCAATATACCAGATATATTTGTAGAGTATAATAGAATAAAAAGGTCTTTACGTGTGTGTGTGTGTGTGTTTGTGTGTGTGTGTGTGTTAGTTTGCTTGGTCAGCCAGGCCCATTGGTGCCTGGCATCGGGGTCATTTACATCTCTTTTGAAAGTGTTTGAAGTCAGATGGGGAGATGATAGTGGGGTACTGGTTAGAATCTCCTTGATAGCGAGGACCCATTTGGCAATTTAGACCCCATATAAACATAAAGTCTGTGGCCAGGACTGTAATTTATATGCAAATGTCAAAGGCTAAAAGGGTCTCTTAAGCCATAAAACCCCAAAGATCATGCATGATTCTACGCAGACGCTACACAATTGAGTCTCATATATATTTTACAGCATTAGTTGAGAGAGATTTTTTCCTTGAGAAAATTTGGCATGTACTGTACCTGATATGTATCCAAAATAATCGATATTGAATCGAATCGTATTGGTAATCGAATCGCAAGCTTGTGAAAGTGAATCGAATCGTGAAATTTGTGTCAAAACCCAGCGCTTTGGTCACCATCCACTTTCACTGTGTATAGAAACTTCCCTTTAAAGATGACAAATATATCACATTGACATGTTCCACCACTGGGGAATATGGTGGAATGTCTCCACAAGCTCGGTCAAAAATATACAGCAAGCTTCCAGCCATTTGGAACTGCAGAATTCAAGGATGACTGATTCGGCTCTATGTGAGTCGAAAGAAAAATCGATTACAAAGACACAGCAACGCCTCTATTCCCCGAAGAAGTTCAGGATGTCCCCCAAGATACAGATATTCTTTTACAGGTGCACTATTGATAGTCTCCTGTCAGGCAGTATTACTGTCTATTGTGTGAGCTGCACCACACCAGACCTGCACAAGGTGTGATGGTCTGAATGAATCACAGAGGGTATACTGCCCAGCCTGCAGGATAACCACACCAGGCAGAGCAAGACTAAGGCAAAAAAAAAAAAATCATTACGGATCCCTGCCATCCAAACAACAGCTTCTTCTCACTGCTGCAGTCAGAAAAAGCCTAGCAAAGCCTTGGGGTCAATACTGAGAGGTTCTGGAGGAGCTCCTACACCCAAGCTATCCAGACACTTAATGAGGACTCTGCCAGGGGCCAGCAACACTAGCAGTAAAGCAGAAACCTTTATAATGCACATATGAACTTTATCACACATATATATTGCTATTATTCTCAGATGTAGAATATCATACAATAGTCATTTCTCTTTTGCACACCCTCATAATTTTCACTTGCACTTTTGTATATAGTGGAAGAATTAAAAAACTTATTTGCTACCTTCTCATTTTTAACTATATTTTTTGTTCATTTTTGACATGGCCCTGAGTTTATTTATTTAGCTCCCAGTCATGTGCCTAACTTAAAAAAAGACACAAACCATAGGTTATGCAATGTTTACAAATGGTTACAAAACAGCACCTGCTAGCCAAGAACATATTTTTCGGCAGTGCATCAGCTGAATGAGTAATTATTTTAAGAATAACCTCAATAAACAATGAATAATAGGGTGATTTTTGTGTGCGTTTTAAGGGACAGGATAGTGTGGTATGTTTTATAGTCATAATTGGGACTTTATCTCAGTATAAAATTGCACAATGTTTATTTCGAATAATTAATATGCAACTCACACTTATTTAGCAATAAAGAATCATTTTAATAATCAATAATAATATTATCATAATAATCATATTAATAATAGAAACATATATAAATAGAAATATAAAATATAAATGTTAAATGTTAAAACTATATTAATAGAATACATGCAATGTATTGTAGCATCCAAGCATTTCACAAGTAAACATTGTGACTTAATATCTCATTGTATGACATAACTCGCAGTTGTGATTTTATGTGTCTTGTAATTGCGTCTTAAACTATGAGTTTTAATTTTTTTGTTTTTATTGGTAACCCTTTACTTTTTTGTTTGTTTACTCTGAGGCAAAAACTGGCTTGCATTTAGTATAAAATGTCATTAAATTAAAACAAAATATACTGTATAAGTTTGTACATGTATCTGATTTGATATTTGACAATAAATAATTAATAATAGGACAATTAGGAGTTAAGGTAAAAGGTAAAGGTATATATTATATATATAAAATATATATATAATAATATAAAAGCCACCTGTTAACAAAGAATAATAGTTGCAACTTTGTTTCTTGGAATTGTGACTTTCCTGTATATCCCACAATGTGTCATGTTTCTCACAAATTGCAATTTTAGACTTGTAACTGCATCTTAAAAATCTGTATTTTTTTCTTTCTTTTTATCTCACAACAACATCACCTTATTTTATTTTATTTATTTACTCTGAGGTGGAAATGGGCAATACACTTTAAATGGAAATTATATATTTAAATGTTTGTACACATTTCATTGTGTATCTGACTTGACATTTAACAAAACCATTTCTAGAGAAAACAAGTACTAAGAAAAGTGGACTTTTTAAAATCAAAAACGAAAAATTCCTTCTTTGAGTCAACAATGAAAATTGCTACAGAAGCTTTGTCAAAACGTGTTTGCAGCCTTGTCTGGATATAATCAACCATCACCCAACAGAGTGTCAGATCAGAGTCACACCCCTGCTTTTTTTATTTGTCTGCTGGTGTGTTATTTTTCTGTGATTTTTGTGATTTGCAAAAGGCAAATAAAACTTTGAGGGAGATGTGCATTTACAGGCAGCTTATCATAACCTGACCTGTAAATTACATCCAGCAGGGAAGCCACAAACCTGGGCTCATATTAATTCAGGCAAATATGACACTTCAGAGTTCCCTTGGATCCTAAAAGGGATAATCTGATAAGTCAGCCATTGAAAAAAACAGTTTCTGTCAACATTTGGGTGATTTAAATTCACTTGGTGAGAAACATTTATGACAGCTTTAAATGTACTGTCTCTTTGATACTACCACTCATGTGTAAGACATTCAAGCGCAAGAAACATTGACTCAGAGACCCGGCACTTGAAACCTAATGTACAAACACTCTCGTCACCTTCACAGGTGACTTCCAGTCAACACATTCATATGTGCAGAATAACTGCCGCATGGCCTTCAGAGGTTATTTTTTTATTTCCCTGTGTGCTTTGAGCTGAGGCAATTAGATAAGTGCCGAGATTGCAGGTAGTCGGCTCATGCAGATGGTCCACAGCTCCACAAGCTCCAATTCATAACAGCCACCTCAAAGATTAGAGACGACAGAAGAATAAAGAGACTCTTGACGCAAACCTTGCCTCTTCAATACCAGGTAAATTGCACAGTGTTTATTTCGAATAATTAATATGCAACTAAACACACTTATTTAGCTACAAAGAATAATATTAATAATCATAATAATCATATTGTCATAATAATCATATTAATAATAGAATCATTTAATTACTAATATAGTATTTTGTTATTCAAATGTTAAAACTATTAAATTAAATATTATTTTAATAAATGTATTGTAGCATCAAAGCCCTTCACAAGTAAACATTAAATATGTGTATCAATTCATTATAAGATTAATAATTACTTGAAATATAGAAGAAGAAGAAAAAGCAACAACAAATAAAAACAAAGGTAGAAATTATATAAACAGTATTTCTTTCAAGATAGTGACTGACTATAAGCAAATAAATTAATAAAGAAATAAATTAAGAGCAGTCTTGTCATTATTATTAGATTAATATTGACAGATTTATCAATGCATTCAGTTCATATTCTTATTTTAAACAATTTATTTCACAGGAACAATTTAGGCCTATGGGGGAAGTCGTGGCCTAATGGTTAGAGAGTCGGATTCATAACCCAAAGGTTGTGGGTTCGAGTCTCGAACCGGCAGGGATTGTAGGTGGGGGGAGTGAATGTACAGCGCTCTCTCCCACCTTCAATACCATGACTGAGGTGCCCTTGAGCAAGGCACCGAACCCCCAACTGCTCCCCGGGCGCCACAGCATAAATGGCTGCCCACTGCTCCGGGGTGTGTGTTCACGGTGTGTGTGTGTTCACTGCTGTGTGTGTGCACTTTGGATGGGTAAATGCAGAGCACTAATTCCGAGTATGGGTCACTATGATGTCACATCACTATATCACAGATAGAGGTATTTTGTTATTATTACTATTAAAAATATGATCAAATTACAAGCAATAAGACAATTACAAACTGCTTTAAGTTTTTTTCCGGATGGTCTAACAGTAGTACTAGGCAGGTACGGAAATACTATAGAAATTGAATAAGCAAATGTAAAAATAAAACACTGCATAGTCTTCACTGTACGAGTAAAATATACATTGATTACAACTACTTAAGATTAAGTTAAGAACGGTGAATTATTCCTTTATTTTTTATGTTGTTTGATTCAAAATAACAACATAGACAGCAGCAGCTATATTAAACTGCTGTCACTTTATGACTGTCCGGATATACGTCCAGCAATATACACCATATAGCAAAACTCTACTGATACACACTACGTATTGTTGCCAGTATGCTATAAATATATACTAACACCACCCTGCCCTATTTGGCACACATCCTGCTTACAAATTACTTAAACACCAACAGACTGTGTTTACTATTAATACTTTGCCAAGACTCTGTAAAAATAAAGGTTCTTTATTGGCATCGAGAGCTCCAAGAAGTACCTTTAACATCCATGGAACCTTTCCATTGCACAAAAAAATAGGTTCTTCAGATTATTCAAAGAGAAATCTATCCTTTAGCATTCTATCGGCACCATTACAGTGGAACAGATGTCTCACCAGGCATAGCATGGACTAGGTCTCCACACAGGACCAGGAAGCGAGGTCTGGGCTGTAGTTTGTTGATTGCTTGGATTGCCTGTTTTGTGAGCTAGACCTCCTCAGTCCAGTCATCCCCTCCTGAATCACAGTCACCAATCCTCCACGCCTTCATCAGGCCAAGCTGGGGGTCTGCAGCCTGGATGAAGTAAAAGGGCCCGTTCCACTCCTTCTGTTCATCTGGGAAGGACAGGAGAAAATAACCTGAGGTTGACAAGTCAAGTCAAGTCAAGTCTGCTTTATTGTCAATTCTTCCACATGTACAGCACTATATGCGCGCCGCCATCTTGGTTCACCTCTGGGCAAAAAAAAGTGCCAAACCATATACTGTAAAAATCTCAATTATTAATGCTGTGTTTGTGGAAAATGCATACGATGTTTTGCATAATTAAGCATAACATAAGATGCTAACAATCAAACTGTTTAAAGGGGTCATATGATGCTGCTAAAAAGAACATTATTTTGTGTATTTGGTGTAATGAAATGTGTTTATGCGGTTTAAAGAAAAAAAAAACACATTATTTTCCACATACTGTACATTATTGTTTCTCCTCTATGCCCCGCCTTTTTGAAACGCATCGATTTTTACAAAGCTCATCGGTCTGAAAAAGCGAGGTTCTCTTAAACTAATTATTTTCCTCACTTTCTCTCTTTCTGCAACTTGTGTGTGAATGCGTGTGTTAGATTAGTTTATATGTCTTAGATTTATCCAATAAAGCCTTATTTATATGGAAAAGAGAAGTATCTTGTGTTTTGTGCTCACAAGTTAATGTCTTAAACTGCCGATCTTGTTACTATGCTAATTAATAGTGTTTTCACTATATTTTGGATATTGATATCCATTGCAGAATTGATGTCATACGGCTCGTTCACTGAATCGCAGGCCGTCTCAGTGATCAGCCGTAAAACAGTGATTCTGTCCTAATTCCCTTGCATATCAATGGTGGAGTTCCCTTTAAAATCTTAAATGATTCCCTTTGAGCTAAATTATTATCACTGTTTCCCTTACAAAGTATTTATACAAATCTTTATCTCAAGTGAGAGAGTCAGTTAAGGGCACAGCTCTAATACCTGGTACGTGTGGAAACCTTTGTCTCGCTTGTTGTATAGAAACTTCAACTGTATATAATACCTTCACAGCAGTTATTGTGTTATAAGGAAACAAAAATGGCAGGAAAAAGTCAATTTTCACACCTCAGGGTTTACAACACAAATACAGCTGAGAAACAGTTTTTACCCATGATTCAGTGAGAAACTTCCAGCATTAAAACTTGGTCAAAATATAAATGAAGAAGATACCCTGCTGAGAACATCATACAAGTCTTGTCTTTGCTTTCCACTATACTCACTTACACTGAGTGTGTGAAGAGGTTTTTGACAGTCAGAGCAGCAAGCCTCAAGAGCTAGAAGAAAAATATAGAATTTCTATCTGTTCCTGATCCTGACAGTGCATCCTAGTAGGGAAAATAATTTTATGATTCCGATTTATCCTTAGCTGTCATGTGAACAGCTAGTCAATAACCACAAAGATTTATGTCTCACAAATAATTGTAAATTGTATGGTTCACTAAAAAGAACGGACCCATAAGAGTTGATCATTGTGGAGTTGAGCTATGCTAGTTGGGCAGTACGTTTTTGATTACTAAAAAGAACTGGCAAAAAAGTCATTTATTGGCAGTTGGACTACACTGCTTGTGCAGTATATGTTTAGATTCACTAAAGTCAAGTCACCTTTATTTATATAGCGCTTTTAACAATACAGATTGCGTCAAAGCAACTTTACAGTATTAAATAGGAAAATAGTGTGTCAATAATGCAAAATTACAATAGTAAACATTCAATTTTCAGTTAAAGGCAGTTCATCATTGAATTCAGTGATGTCATCATCCAGCTCAGTTCAGTTTAAATAGAATCTGTGCAATCAAGTCGACGATATCGCTGGATATTAAGTGTCCCCAACTAAGCAAGCCAGAGGTGACAGTGGCAAGGAACCAAAACTCCATCTGTGACAGAATGGAGAAAAAACCTTGGGAGAAACCAGGCTCAGTCGGGGGGCCAGTTCTCCTCTGGCCAGACGAACCAGCAGTTCAATTCCAGGCTGCAGCAAAGTCAGATTGTGCAAAGGACTCATCTTGTCCCAGTGGCCGTCTAGACAAGGTCTTCACTGAAGATATTTGTCTCTGGGGCTCATCTAGTTGTCCTGGTCTCTGCTGACATTCAGGGCTGTAGAGGTCATCGCTAGGTGCTGATACGCCATCTGGGCTGGATATGTACTGGATACGGGTGACTGCAGTGACCATCTGATCTGGATACAGACTGGATCTGGTGGCGATGGTGACCTCAGAATAAGAAAGAAACAGACAAATATTAGCATAGATGCCATTCTTATAACGATGCAAGTACATCGGGTGTTATGGGAAGTGTTATGTGTAAGCCAGGTTAAAGAGATGGGTCTTTAATCTAGATTTAAACTGACAGAGTGTGTGCAGTGTTGACAGAACCGGGCTAATATGGTCATACTTCCTGGTTCTAGTAAGAACTCTAGCTGCTGCATTTTGGACCAGCTGAAGTTTGTTTATTAAGCGTGCAGAACAACCACCCAATAAAGCATTACAATAATCTAACCGTGAGGCCATGAACACATGAATTAACGTTTCTGCATTTGACATTGAGAGCATAGGTCGTAATTTAGATATATTTTTGAGATGGAAAAATGCAGTTTTACAAATGTTAGAAATGTGGCTTTCAAAGGAAAGATTGCTATCAAATAGCCCACCAAGGTTCCCAACTGATGACGAAGAATTGACAGAGCAGCCATCGAGTCTTAGACAGTGTTCTAAGTTATTACATGTGGAGGTTTTAGGTCTGATAATTAACACCATTTTTTTTTCAGAATTTAGCAGTAAGAAATTACTCGTCATTCAGTTTTTTATGTCGACTATGCATTCCGTTAGCATAACAGTGAAATCTAACACCGTGTTTCCTGTTGATATCTCCCAGGGGTAACATGTAAAGTGTGAAAAGTAACGGCCCTAGTACTGAGCCTTGAGGTACTTCATACTGCACTTGTGATCGATATGATACCTCTTCATTCACTGCTATGAATTGATGGCGGTCAGATAAGTACGATTTGAACCATGCTAATGCACTTCCACCAATGCCAACAAAGTTTTCTAGTCTATTCAAAAGAATGTTTTGGCCAATAGGGTCGAACGCAGCGCTAAGATCCAGTAGCACTAATAGAGCGATACAACCACGATCAGATGATTAAAAAAAGAACTAAAAAGAACTAGGAGTTTATAGGGGAGTTGGACTACACTGCTTGCGCTGATATTTTGATTCATTAAAAAGAGCCGGCTTTTAAGAGTCATTTTGTTGGGGAGTCAGATTTGGTTGCACAGTATGTTTTAGATTCACTTAAAGAACCGGCTCATAAGAGTCTTCATTCAGTGGACAGGCTACCCTTTTTGCAGTGTATGTTTGTGAATCACTTGAAAGAACTGTTTCATGATTAATTCATTTGGTGACTGGGCTACACTGACTGTTGTGTATGTTTTTTGATTCACTAAAAAGAACTGGCTCATAAAAGTCATTCATTCTGTGGCCAGGCTACACTGGTTGTGGTGAATGCTTTTTGATTTATTAAAAGTTTACCACATGTCATTTGTTAGGGAGTCAGACTACACTGGATGCATAGTATGTTTCCGATTTACTAAAAAGAACTGGCTCATAAGAGTAATTTGTTCAATAATCGGACTACACTGTGGTGTTGCACCACCATTTAATAAGTAACACAAGAACTGTCAGCTTATTTCAGCATGGTATTTCATCGGCATTCTGGAAGAATCCATGTATCAGAACTGTACACTAAATTCTGAATAAGAATCAGTTCTCGGATACCAAACCTATTCTGTCATTTTATTTAAAAACTTTCAATTCAAAAAACACTTTCCAAGTGAGCTGCATTTTAATTAGTAATGAAGCCCACAAAGTTTCAACATCAGTCTCTATGGAGCAACCATGCTGTTTCAATCGTTTTGTCATTCTAACAATATGAAGTGTTTGCTATGCTTCGAGCATCTCTTTGGGAAAGCACAAAACCTGGTTAAAATAAATAAATAAAATAAAAACACATGATTTCTGACCAACTCAAAAAGCATTTAAAATGTACCATCTGCTGCTTGGAATCTTGTTTGTTGTCTAACTCTTTCATGTGCAGTCCCCAGAGACTGGAAACTATTTTCAGGCAACTTTAAACAACATGAATTGAGAGGAGCAGACAAAGCTCCCATGACAGCCGATAAGCACAAGCCTCTTTCAGCAAACATAAATCAGAGGAATATCTCAGATGACTCGCAGAGCTTTCAAATACTGCTAACCTAATCATAAGTCAAGATAAAAGCCTCCTGTGATAAAGCATTAAAATATCAACTCAACTCACAGCATCCACTAACAGTCACTGATGTAGGTTTTTCCTCACAAAAAAAGGGAAAAAGTTGCAGATGTCAACACTGCCAGTGCAAAGCAAAGAATAAGCAAGAAATTAGTCTGAGATGAAAATTTCAGACTGGATTTACATAAACAGTCAAGCAGAGGAAGCACAAAGGGACACAAAACACTTAAAAAACACTTTCACACTGAAAAACACCAAATCAAAGGTTAAAGTCGGCACAAACTGAAAATTATAAATCTATTTTAAATGCATCTTATTGATGTTATTGTGAACAATATATCTATGAATGTTTATTTATAATTTTAGTCTCATAAGTTTTCATCAAAAATTGTATGATAATCCATTTCACTATGATTTACATCACAATATTTACTGCAAATTTAAGTTAAGCAATCTTAAAGTGGAGTGGAGTGGACAAAGACAGGCTGACCAGAAACGAATCAAAAGTTGTCTCTCCGATGCTCAATATGTATACAGTGTTGCCAATTTAGCAATTTTGTAGCTAGATTTAGCGACTTCCCCACCCCACTTTTTTCAAAAGTTTAAGAACAAGTTTAGCAACTTGGACAAACCTGATCTAAGTTTTCATCTTGCCCACTGATCTATATCAAAGACTATAGAATACCCAAGACGTGTCACTCATATATTTTTGAATGGGGAAAAATGCAACACTCAATAGGGCCTTTCGCACCGCAGGAACCTTTTCATAGTACCAGAACTAATTGTGGAACTACCCACTTTTCGGCGTGTTCGCACCGCCAAAACTGGGTGTGATTTTAGTACCGGACTGCCTTTTTC